TTTGGAAACTTAAAAAGATTAAAAAGTTTTATGCACAAAATATATTAAATATTTCTTCTACATCGAGAGGAATTATTGGGATGTCATCAAATGTACTTTATAACTCAAAGTAATTGTAATAAATGCAACGTGTATACTAAGAAAACACTATATCCTATACTGAAACAAAGAAAAATTATTAAACATTTTTGTACTAAAAATGATCGAGGTTACAGTGAATAAGTCCTAAAACGTTTGTCCGGAATGCCACTTACTCGTTTTCTTCGATCTTTCCTTTAATAAAAAATTAATCTCGCGTGTGGCTTTTTCATTCAAGGCAAAAGGCGGTAAATTACATGCGATACATATCAGAACAAAGTTGTAGCGAAATGAAGCACAGTATTTCTAAATTAAACAGAACCACAGCCTTTTTTTTCTTACCGGATCCTATAACGAGAAGTATTATCATATTGTGCATATTGTGCTAGACGGAACTCATGCAAATACCTATTTGTTATGAAATAAAAAAAACGTGGACACATGGAAAATGTCAATCGTGTAACATACGAGTTTCTTATTGCATGAGAAAATTTTTTAGCTGGTCGTTAATCATGTTATAACGAGATGCTGCCGTTGGTTTAATTGTGATAAAAGCAACTCATTAAATATGTTCAATAATACTCTTAAATTAACAACACCAATGAAACAGTAATAGAGAATTCAGTGCTATTTTAGTATGTTTGCACCGAAATTTTGGGGAAGAAAAAATATGCAATACTTTTTAATGTCTTCATGAATTGAGTGATAACTCTGAACGTCGATGTGCTAAACATCATTTCACCCTTGAACAATTACCATTTTAAGCTTTTATATTTATCAAAACAATATGAAAAATTTTCTTTTGTTTGCTTTCATTGAAGGCTTAAATTAATTCAATCATATTCAATCATGATCATGAAATTTATTCCATCGATTTTTTATGTCATCCGTCGTAGTATGATAATGTTTCAGTTTTATTAGATAAGATGCAAAAGAATTATTTATAATCAATAATATCATCTGAACTCTATTAGAACGAATTTCAGCCATTCATTGATATTTAAGAAATCAACGCGTAAATTAATGCTTATACTTAAATTTGTTGTCTACTTTAATCACCGAAACTCTATAAAATAAAAAAACCTATATTAGGGCTTATTCTGATTTAATAAATTTGTTTGCGGTTAATTGCAATTAAATTTACTCATTATTGTTTGATGCATAACCTATTCATACGTTTACTTTATTTTTTTAAATCTTATTTGTTTCAAAGTAATTTAGTTAAATACAGTCAAGCTTATTGTTATACGAACAAGGAAACATCCTTTTTTATGACGATTCCGCGCCAATACTAAAAATGATCAAAATGGCGTTTTTGGATATCCGGAAAGCGCCCCAAAGGGATTCATATCACAAAGTCAATGAAATAGAACCTAAAAAATTACGCGTCAGTTGTCAAGTCATACAACGTATGTAATTTCCGGCCGGCTTTTATAACATATACAAGACGGTTTTAGTTAAATGGTTCAATTTTAAGAGAAATTGCTGAACAACGTGCAAGATCATGGCAAGCACGTGTTTTTTTTTTTTTTTTACCTAGAACACTTAATTGTAAAAATTGTAAACAAAGAATATTTTTATTCATATTATACGTGCTTATCTACGTTTCCGATAGATATTAATGAGATATTCTTTGATTCTTTGTCATCCGAAATTATAAGCAACGAGCTCATCAAAAGCTTTGCTCTATGTAAGTTAAATATATATATATTTTTTTTTTAAAAGAAAAAATTTTCCTTCCCTTTTACCGCTGTGAAGATCAAATTTTGTAATACCAACATCCCTAGATGGTATTGATTGTTATTTTCTTTGTTTCATAATTAAAATCTTTTTTCATGATGAATAGCTATCTTCTATGCAGACATTTCTTTAAAATTTTTTTACACACACCGATGACTTTCTAGTTAAAATTTCTTTAAAAACAGAAACTTGTGTTAAAATGTAAAATAATGAAAGGGGAATATGAAAATACGGTTTCGGTGTGATTTTGATTGACCAATGTGCCCCCTTGTAAATTATGTAATATATTTATTATTTTGCTATCTAAATAAAAGCTTCTGTTTGTGCATAATAATGTTTCAAAATGTTAAAAACGAAAATTAAGATAGCATTTAAAAATAGCAATCAAACAAAATTGTTTACTGTAAATCATAATCCCATTGTTTATTAGCTCATTGCGCGCGAAAACCATTCAATATTCTTACTCTGAAACAGGAGAATAAAATGTAAATAAATATTTGGCATAAATTTAGGAACAAACTTATAATTATAAATGGTAGATAAAAAAATATATATATAAATATATTTTATACAATGTAATCTTCATTTAGCATAGAGATTATCTACTAAAGTTTAAGAATCTACCCTTAGAAATTTTCTAATACGTTCTCGGAAATTTTTTTTTTATTTTTGGACGTTTTCAAACGCAAACAATGATCGTTTATTAGAGATTATGTTAGCCGAACAAAAAGATTAATAAATCACGATTAATAAAATTTCAAACTTATTTTATCACGTGAATTTCAAATTAATTGCTATAACAAAATTAAAAATAGTCGTTTGAAATTTTGAGATCAAATGTTTAATGAATTTACATAAAATTGTTAAATGACTTTATTCTAGCCTTTTTTTTATTATTCATTTATTATAAAAGAAGGTTTATATAATATCATTTTGCATCATAATTATTCTTGCTAGAATACTCTAAAGTATTTCCATTGTTAATACAATCATTTTCGATAATATGAAAAAATTTCCTATTGTTTAAGTTTGTTGATCTGTAGATGAAGTGAACTTGAACTGCGCCTCAAAGATTTAATTTGCAAAATTTTGATTATGTCATATTTTACCATCACCCACTCACTAATAAGTTAAATAGTAGCGAAGTGTCCGGATTCATATAAAACTATCGTTATATCGAATTTTAAGTATATCAAATTGACGTCGTCATAATGTATATAGAAATATTTGTATAAATATTTATATAATAATACGATAATCAAGTGTGAATGGTAATTTATTCACGAGAAATAATTCGACTTTGGAAAAAAAAAAATTACCAAGGTCATAACTAGTGAATTAAATTTTAGTTTTGTTACTGCTAAAAGTCTTTACTTATTTAGTTAGATTATTATTTTTTTAAACTTACCGGTTTAATGATTTGTAACCCAATTTCTACATGTGCGGTTCACTTCCTATTTAATTATAATGTAAAAATTGCGAAGGTATAAGTGTAACTTAAAAGAATTGTATATATTTATTGTTAACCTCGACGAAAGGGTTGCAATGTCATGTATTTTATTTTATTCAAATCTTGTTTACCGTACCTCATAACTTGCTTTTAATAGCAAACAACCCATATGATCACATTGTAAATTTAAACAAAATGAAATATATCATCAACTTATCGCGTACTTGGTTCTAAACGCTTTTTTTTATTAATTATATCTTAACAAAATCATTTCATGACAATTTTTTTTTTTCTTTAAAAAAAAAATTATTTATTAAATATTTACACTTTATGAATGCATCATTTGGTCATGTAAAAAGATTTGATAAATTAACATAAAATCCATAAAAGTAACTGAATATTTTTTACGTTATATAAAGACAGCACATTCTAATTATTAATGAAATGTGATTGGTTCGGATAATTTTTGGTGATAAAATTTGTCATAGTGTATGCAAATGTATGTAATTGTGTTATACTATTTAAGGATAAATATTTATAAACAATTATGAAATACATTTGAATGCAAATATATTGAATAATAAAAATCAATAATTTCCAAGTTGTGTTTTCTCTAATTTTTCAATAATTATTCATTTTGAAGCACATGAAAAATACTATACGTGGATATTTTGCACGTTCCTTAAAATCAAAATATCTAGAAACTGACACGTTTTTAAATATTTAATGAATTCTGAATCAGAAGACATTTCTTGGATTTCTTTATAAAAATTTATTTATTACCTTTTTTAAATTTCGTAACATTTACATTTATGCTCTTCAATATTTCGTTATATTATCAAATTTATTATTATTAGGATTAGTAAGAAAGCTTCGATGTGTTCTCATGCATATCGCATGGTAGAAATTACATATAATATTGTCAACGGTACACCGAAATACTCAAAGTCAGAGGACGTAGAGCTCATTAGAATTCTATTGGAGTAACATTAAATATATTCGCAAGGATTTCTTTGAAAAGATTTTTGTTTCTACAATTTAACACATGATATTTTTAAGGGCTTTTTTACTTTTTTCTCTTCGATATACTAATTCAACTAAATGCGCCCGAATTCAGAATTATGTTTATCACACGGTTACAGCACGAGACATATCCATTTGCAATTAAATAAATTTATTTTATTGACAGCTTATGAATGACCATTATCGTTATATAAAAAATTTTGTCACGTGAATTCTCGTATAATTTTATCTTAAGAAATTTGCAAAGCAAAACATAGAAAAAAAATAAAAACATAATTGAATCTATAAATAACTTAAAGAGGAAAAAACATTGTAGTAACATTTTTAAATATCGATTTCGTAATTTGAAATAAATAATTATTTGAGTAAGAAGAAAAGTTGTATACTTTCCTTAAACTTTTGCCGTCATAGTGATTTTCCAATTCTCTAAATTGAAATTGACAAATCATATACTAAGTCGTAAGAAACATTGTTAAAATTGAATTCTTCATTCTCCTTTTCATTAAAAGAGGTAATTATCATTGCAACCTTGAATCCTTTTAGGAAACTTAGTTGTCCCTAAAAGCCTTTTTAAATACAAGGTAGGGGAAATGAACGAAGAAACGACTGCTTCGGAAATAGGGTAAATTTGTCAAAGAAATTTCTGATTCGCAAGGATCGTTAATTTTCATTCTCATACTTATTAAAAGAGATGAAAGTTGGATATTTTTTAACATCCTTGATCTTGAGTCGTAAAATTTACCAATTTTTGTAATTCCTCAAAAGTGAAATTTGACAAGTCGTATTCTAATTCACAAGAAACATTATTAAGACTAAATTGTGCGGTATATTTTGAAAGTTTTTCATTCCTTTTTGAAATACATTCATGAAGGTTGTCAACAATTTTTTCGATTTTATTGACTTTGCTAGAAAATAAATTGAAACAATCATTAGTCTCCTTACACATGGAGCATAGCTTTAGAGGTTCGCAAGGGACGTTATTGAGAATGAATTGTTCATTTTCATTTAAAGAGGTAGGAATTGGATTTATATTATCATCATAGAAATTTTCAGTCGCAAGATTCGCCAATTTATCTAATTCTTGTAAAGTGAAATGTGACAGGTCATATTCTATTTCACATAGAACATTGTTGAGAGTAAATTTTGCATTATATATTGAACATTTTTCGGTCTTCTTTTTTTGAAGGTTGTCATATAAATTATCACCGATTTCTTCAATACGATTGACTTTATTAGAAAATAATTCGACATAATTATCGGTTTCCTTACAATCGAGGCAAAGCTTTGGAGGTTTCTTTTTTCTTCTTCTATTATCATTAACGAAATTGATCTTTCGTAAATATGGACTCAAGCGTGATTTTTGCTCATAACTTTCGGATGTCATCGTGTACGAAATAAAAAATTTGAACGATTCAGGCTTATCATTAAAAATAAATTCCTTCGTAGGAAATTTTCTGTGTTTTTATAAATCTCATCCCTCGTTTCTCATTGTCAATCATTGGTTCTTGCATTTATTATTACTGGACCACACCAACCAAAAAAGAGAAAATTTATTAATATTATTATATGATATATGAACAAAATTTTATAGTCTAGATTTTAGAGATATTTATATCCCTGGTAAAAATATTTTTATTGTAATACTCTGTTTATTTTTGTTTTAAAAAAAAAATAAACACGAAAAATTAAAATAATTTTTTTAAAATTAATTCTTTTGAACAAGAATTTTCATTATAAATCTTTTTTTGTAATAAAATTAGTGTAACAATTAGGGTTAGGATCGGTCCGGTCAAAAAAGACTGGTTTTTCATCTTTCTTAGGGCCGGACCGGTCCATAAGTCAATCCCAGGACCGGTCTTGCATTATTCTCCATTTCCATTTAGGACATTATCGTTACAGTAAAATGTTGGGACAGGTCCTAGGACTGACTTATGGACCGGTCGTTCCATAAGAGAGATGTAACCGGACCGGGTATAATTTTATAATATTTTATAAATAAAATACTTAATTTAAAATATATATATGCTATAAATAATAAAGGACCGGTCCGGACCGGTCCTCAGAATATGGACCGAGGACCGCAAGGACCGGTCCCATTAACCGGTCTAGAACCGGTCTTAACAGGACTGATTCATCCCTACAAAATAAATCTTTTTTTTTCTTTTTCATGTTTTTTAACTCTAAATATTGTTCAACTACAGTTCATGGGGTTTCAAGTATTAGAATTTTGTGGACATTTTTTTCATAATTTCATAACAAGCGCCCTTTTTCATACAGTTCTGAGATTTCACAATTTCAATGCTTTGGTCAAACTAAACAATGACAAATGCCCAAGGAAGGTTGTTCATAAGAAATATCTGCAGTTCAACGGTTATGAAGGTATGGACGTGTTGATTAATAATCTCAAGACGTGGTTATTTTTCTTTTACTTTCTCAAAGAAAGCAACCAAAGAAGCTTATGTAAATTGTTCAAATGTATTGATATATAATTGTGAAATTATGGTTTTTTCGTAATAATACTAAAACGCGTTTGTTTTAGTAAAAATAAAATAAAAACAAAAATAATTATATTATATTATATTTAAAATTATACAAATGATGCAGAATATTTTTTCTATTCTCTAATATTTGTAAAATTAAAATAGATTTTTAAGTGTCAAAAGATTTTCTTCATTATCTTCCTTTGATTTCATAAAGGATGACAACAATTTCTTCAAGCCGAGTAATTTTTTCACAATCAGGACAAGACTTTAAGAGCTCATAAAAATGAAATTTTAACGATTAATTGAAAAAATTGGACGTATTTGAGGACGCAGCAAAACGTCACAATCGGTGATTAAGATCATGTTAGGTGCATATGATCCGTTAACGTGATTTTAATAGTAAACTTTATTTTCGTTTTCTCTGGCATTTTTTTTAATAATCTGAAAATAATTTTTGTAAAATTAGAATTATTGACTTTTCATCTAATTATAACAATATCAATTTTCTATATGATTTACCATGTGACTCGATTTTAATAGTAATAAACATATTTTCTCTTTAGCATAGAAAATTAAAATAAAATAATAGCTTCTTCCTTCAAGCAAAAGAAGAAGGGGGGTTTTTTTTCTTTTTTTTTTTTTTCTTTATAATAACGATATAATATTATGCATAATTTTATTGGATAAATTTTTTCTATGTCGATCAACTACGAAAACACGATCGTATTTCTTTTGGGATCGATCCCTTAGTGTTTCACTAAAAACGGTAAATGTCACAATTGGCTGATAAAAATCTATTGAAGACCTATTATTCACACATTAGCGTTTTCTTTCATTTGATACCTAAGGATTTTATTTTTTTTGGATATATTATAAAAATATCCTTTCCATTACGATTAATTTAAAATACTAAATACCTATGTATATATTTTCTAAATTTTTAATTGTAACATCATAATTTTTGTATAATTGGGAAAAAAAAAATTCACCCATTTTAATTACGATTATAATGTGTTCAAAAAAAATATCCCATTCTATTCAAAAAAAAACTATTCAAAGAAATCAGAAATGTAATTCATCTATAGGGCTATGTGTCTTTTCAATTATTGATTCTAAGTCTGCGATTTGTTTCACCTTATAGCATTTGATTGATGACACCAACTAATTTCCCAACACGCTCTTTACCCACTCAACCTTCAAGAGTATCAGTATCATCTATTGAGACAAGAAGGATGGATTAATGATAAATTGTAAAAAAGAACAGTATCTTGCAAATGAACACAAATTTGTTGATGTTATTTCTACGCGATATAAGTTCCGGGCAAAAAATATGGCGGTTATATTTTAACGGTATGTATAGACTTAAGTTTCATATTTTTTTTTATTTAAAAGTCCGAAACAAACTAATACCTCCTCCTGAATCATTGCTTTAATCCGTTTTGGCATCCTATTGATGCACATAAGTAACACACCATCATAGAGGTGTGTATTAAGAGTTATTTTTCTTGTAAGAACAGAAACGTAAACGAGGTTCGCGAGCTCATCACGTACGGTACGCTCACTGACCTTGAGTTCGTGATCCTTCCTACTTTGCTTTAATTTACCAGCCGTTGTTCTGCAAAATTTTCAATTGGCGGGGTTTCCTCGGTCGGTCAGATAAGTATTCTATAGAAATATTGCCAATTTTTACGCAGAATACTGGCATATCGCTCACATGAACGTAAAGGAATTCCTAATTTTTGGGAAATTCCCTTCTCGTTACAGACGTTTTGCTGCGTAAGTGACTTAACGGAGTTTTCGTTGTGTTTCAAGAGAAGGTGGCATCGTCTCGCGGATAAAATTAAAAAAAAGAAATAACAAATAATAATTTTACAACTTACCTTTTAAAATTAGCATTCCATTACCCGATTTGACTGTAATATAAAATATGTAGGTGGATTCTATACTCAATGAACTCTTCAATATATATTTATTAAAAATGTTAAATAAAGGAGAATTGAGTGTCTATAATTTCAAATGAAGTTCGTTAGTGCCATCATTAAATAAATCAATGTGCCTTAGATTTTGATTTAAAATTAATTCTTTTATTTCATTCCTTGAGCATGCAATGTCAACATTATGAAGTGTATTTTTCAAATCTTGTGTTTGCACACTTATGAATGGTTCCTGTCATTTTTGAATACCTTTTGGAATTCGACCTTGTTGTTTTCGAACGACTGCCCTTGTGGCTGAAACTTTTTGATAACCATTTATTTTTTTTTATACATTTTACGGCTTATTATAATATATATGATCCATCAAAGATGAAAAAAGAAAAATATTAAAATATGATTTCATTTAGATTTCATGTTATTTTGTATCAAAGAGCATAAATTGTATAAAAACGACGGCTGAAATTTATCACCTTGTTAAATGTTCTCATTTTAGGGTGAAAATAGAATTTTTTAAAAGTACTAAAATAAGGATATTGCAGATCTTTCTATAATTCACAAATGAAATTTATTTGTGAGTGCCTATTATTTCGCGTGTAACAATAAGAACATAGGGATCATATTAGTAATATATTTACTTAACTGGCACCAAAGATTGCCGATCTTTGAAATTCTTATAATGGACTTTTTTTTCGAACGAAAATAAAAAAATGAACCCGATATAAATAAGATTTTATTATATATCATAAGGGATGTCTGATCTTACTTCTATAATTTTTGTATTTAACGTTATTTACTAGAAAAAAGCAAAATTGTAAATGATATTATATATATAGTATGTATATAACGTATATAAACGTATATAAACTTAAATAAAAGCTTTTATTATTAAGTAATCCTTATTGCATAATCAGGGAATCAATCTTATACAATATAATTAATAAAATTACATTTTTTTTCATATTTTATCGAATAACTTAAACGCACATTTGGGAAGATAAACTATTAAATTCATAAGTCCTACGTAGTCCAACGTCCAACAAATAGAAATTTTTTTTTTTTTTTTTTTTTATAAAAAATAAAATAAAATAATATAAAATAAATAAATAAAAAAAAAGTCATAATAATTAGAATTAAACAAAAAAAATTACAAAATAAAGAATTCTAACTCTATTAACGTCTCTATTAAGAATTATTGTGCATCTAAAATAAAAGGACCGACGGCCTGCCTATCTATTGAAGAAAAGAAGATCCAGTAAAAAAACCAGCTGGACTTAAAATGGAGGAAGCTGTTTCAGAGATTTCACTAAAGTTTGCGCCGTTGAAGAAATCCCTTTGTGTAGGGTCTTCGGTATTCTGGTGATTAATTCTTGCAATGTGGTCAAGAGTCATAGAATTATTGATGTGAACTCGCGAGATGTATTTTTGATTAATCTCGTTTGCTCCATCCGCCAAACTTGTAAATTGGTCCTTTTGAGCATCTGATAAATGGTTGCGCCAAATTTCATCGACGGCTAAGTTTATAAGATACCGTTTATTGTTTATTACTAAATTTTGTGTTTCGGATTCTACATTACGTCTTAACAATATCTTTCCATTTATCTTTTTAACGTTTTTTCCACGCCTTGATTTAGCAGCGACTAGAAGTTTATTATTATTATCAGGAAGCTGGCAGACGATACTAATATCTACGTGACCAAGAAATTCTTTTAACTTTTCTATAACGAGCGGATTGGAACTCATATTAAATGAAAATTTCAATCCCTCAAAGAACTGAATTATTGATAGATACTGTATATACTTGGATTAATTTTCCTCCGAGAAAATTAAATTCTGTTTTAGAGGAACCTTTTTTATTTTGTAAAAAAAAAAAAAAGATAAGCAGGTGATAGTAATTTTTTTTTTTAGGTAATTATAAAATGTTTTAGACAAAGAACTATTTTATAATATTTACAAACAGAGTCCTAAAATGTTTCAACGCGTTCGATACTGTCATATTTTTCATGTGATTATTCTTATTCGATATTTTGTCATTATAAAACCTTTAGGTAGTTTTTTACGCCAAGGCAAATAAATGATTCTTTCACGTGAAGTTTTTTTTTGCCAACTATTTTGCATTGAACAAAAAAAAAAAAATTTCACATATATATATTTTAAAAAAAATGATTTTGTAACGCGTGTTATTTCAACAATTACCACTTCAAATTAAAGAGAGTGAATACCTTTTATCTTTAGGGATAAGGAATATCAGTTGAGAGTAGGTAAAAAAAAAAAAAAAGAAAAAAGAAAAAAAATCATTATTGCGGTTCTTTTTTTTTTTTTTTGTTTACTGTTTACTGAACACATATTATATTAGAAGCAATAACAAATAAGCAAGTCATTGTTACTTTTTTTTTTCACATATACATTTCGTTTTATTTATATCATGAGCTTGATGATAAGGTACGTTTACATAAATGGAATAGTTAAACCACGAACTTTGGGGGAATTTTTTTCACTTTATAAATTATATTATATTCAATTTAATTGATATATTGATTATAAATAATTTACACACGAAAAAAAAAACGGGATTTTTTGAATTTAAATTTTTTTGTAACAAATACTGTTCAGAATTGGATTCCCTTATATTAACAAAAGTAGCTAATTGAATCACGTGATCGGGCTATTTTGCGCCTGATTTGGGTTAATATATATGTACGAATATGTTTACCTACATATTGCGTAAAATATAAACTATTTGCACAAAAAGATGAATTGTTTGAGTAAAATATTTTTTAAATACAAGATATAAGTGATGCAAAGGTCACAGATTAGCTTGCTCTTCCATCAAAATTATTCTAGACGAAACCATCTGAATGATTTTTCCGGGGCTTTTATTATTATTATTAAAGAAGAAAATAACATACTTTTCTTCTTACAGCTGTTTCATCATATACGGGACAGCACTTATTTGTTCTTGACGCGAAATTTCGGTAAAGATGTCGCTGTGTTACGATCAATATCTGAATTGCCAAGATTTCGCGGTAGCGTTGTCCAGTATATTTTTGAGATTTGCTGTAAAGCGGTACTCATGATCGGCAAAATATGTATTTATTTTCGGCTTGACGCGAAAACTTGATAAACTCGACATAGATCTCGCTGCTTATCGATTAGTATTTCATATGAGGTTTATCAAGTTTTCGCGTCGGTAATTTTTTTTTGAAAATTGGTTTTACCAAATGAATGATGATCGGCAATATAACTTTAATCTTGGTCTAAATTTCTGATTAGAACTTTAGGAATAATTAATTATATTTATCCTAAATCATGATATCATGTATACTTATGTATACACGAAATTTGTGTAAAAAGGATTTTAAGGATACAATGAGGTATATTATAGTTTACTTGCCAAACATGGTAATTTTAGTATGGCGTTAACTACATATTTATTAATTTTTTGTAATCACATTCTCGGAGACACAACATCACATAATAAATTTAAACCCCCTGAATTTTAGAGAAAGATGTGCATTTTATGGGGAATAATTTTTGAAAGCTAAACAGGTCATAATGATAGACAGGTCATAACCATTTGCAGATTAGTAATTATTATTTTTTCCTTTTTTTTTTTTTTTTTTTTTGCCAAAATAATATATCAATATGGGTTGTTTTTGTGTCACTAAAAAAATGCGTGTCACAATAAGCGTGAGTTTTTTTTTTATAAATTTGAGGTTATCCAATCAGATGTCTGATTCAGAGCTCGTGCTTCTTTACTCTTGAAAGTAACTTGATTTATTATTTTTTTTTTTAACAGAAATAGTTAATATAAAGTCAATGTTAAAAATAATTTAGAAAAAATCCACCTTAATCACGACCAAAAACAAGGTATGCACCACTATTTTACTCAATTGCACCTGCGATGAAATTTATTTCTTTTTTCCAGATATGATAATTCAGTATTATTTTAACAAAGAATGAACAAAATATGAATGCATCTATAATAAAATAATTATTTACGTGCTATATGCTAATTATTCGAAGAGTTATTGTCTTTTGTACATAAAAATTAAGTTTTGAAATGTATGGAAACTTCGGTGTTACGAAAATAGTAATCATGATACCTAAATATATCGCGTAACATTATGAATTGTAACTCCAACATTTTATAAAAACAAAGAAATATTTTTCATATTGTGAAATTTTAAAAAAAATCCCCAGGGTTCAAATTGGAACAATGCAAATATTATCTTAGGGTAAAGATAAAGATTATTGTTGTACGATAAAAAAAATCTACAAGTACGGTTTTTACAACATTAAACTTAAGTTTAATTATATTCGGCGTTTTGATCCTGCAAAAGGTAAACATTATTTAGCAGCAAAATGCCTATCACTCTTATCAACGGTTTGCATATGATGCGGGGATCTGGGGGATAGGACATTTAACTATTTTATTTGGAAAATTTTAATATACTATTCTTTTCGAAAAAAAATTTTAGTACCAAAAGGTTGGGTTCAAGTAATAAAGTGATAATGATAATGATAATAAGAATGAATAATCATCGCCAAAAATCTAACGATCTAATAGAATATTTTATCACAATTGAAAGGATCACAATAACATTGATAAATTAAAAATATGTATGCATACTTATATATAAAGATATAATAATTCTTTCGTTGTTGTTTTGTTGAATATATTATTGAGTTTTTCAACTAGTGATAATTTATATAGGCAATTTTCATCTAATTTATTTATACAAACAACGAATTTATATAAATAAGTATAAAGGTTGTGTTTAATTTAAAGAATAATTACCTGAACCTTATTAAAAGGATTATTACTTAATATCATGTAGTATCGGAACGGTACATGACCCCAGCATAATCCATCAGTACTGCTTTCTTGATAAATGTAAAATCATCATGATAATTAATTCATCACAACAAAATGAAATGAGATGAAATGAGAAATACAATAAATGCATGTTCTTTTCTACCTTGATTCAAGGACGGTTATAAAAGCGCCGAACTTTCCTTTGAATTTTGATTTTCATAATCATGAAAAAAAAACTTTTAGCTCTTTAGAACTATTTTTTTAGTTCATCCAATGATGATGTAAAAAAATACGAGCAAATACTTCAAAAAAAAAAATTTTTAGCTCGTCAGAATTCATTCAATGATGTAAAAAATACGAGTAAATACTTCATCAATACACAAAATGCAAAAATGAAACTCTCATATCTTTTCCTTGAAAATAAATTCAAAAAATTTGTCAATAGTCTCTTAAAAAGGGGAGACCGAACTAGATATTCTCATTGCAAAATTTCCTTTCGAAAATTTTAAAGCATTAAATGGGAAGAGAAATTTATTGCACTAAAATATTCTTGTAATATTCAATTTATCTCAATTTATCCTTTCGTTATTTGTTAAAAAGAAATGATTATTGTTATTATTGAAATGTTTAGTTGTAAAATTTACTAATTTTTGTGATTCTTCTAAAGTGAAATTTGACAGTTCGACTTATTCTTCTTTATTTCTAAATATTAAGGATATTTTATTTAAGATTTTATTTATTTAATTCTAAGAATTAAGAATATGTAATTTTTAAAAAATTTTTAAATTTTTTCTGTAATATATGACATAATAAAGAAAATAAAACTTTTAACTCTGAAAATCGATCAAGTGTATTAAAAAAAAAAATGTTAATATTTTGTTGAAGACAGAAAACAGTTCGTAAAAATGGAATTACGTAATCAATACTTTTTCAATTTAGGTTGGTTTTAAGGTTCGTAATCGTTTGTATTTTAAAGGTCAAATCTACAAGGTCTTTGTCATTTCGCAAATTATACCCAATGACTGCATTATCATGGGGATTCTTGTACATTCTCAGGTTTTTTTTTTTTAAAAAAAATGCATATGAAGTAAACCTTATAAGGCAATATGTTACCTGAAATAGACCTTTTTTTTTCAAGCCAGACATGGGGAAATTAACGTCATTTCCGAATCGCGATTCAATTGAGATTATCTGATAAGTTATTTTAAGAATTTTTGTTTTGTTTTAACCAATCCAAATTTTCACATGAAGGACTGTTTTGAGAATTCGATTAAAACGTATTACGAATGTTCATAATTTATGCGGCATATGGACAAACAAACAAAAACAATAATAACTTTCATCGCTAACTTCATCAATAACTGATGTTTTAATATTTTATTCTTTTTTATAAAAAATAATGATTATACCTATAAATCGATGTAACTACTTTAATTATAAATGTTTTCTCGTTAGGATTCGTATCATATTTTGAATCTAATACCAAAAGAGGATAGATAAAAGAAAAATATAATCAAAAAATGTTGTTATATATGTTATAATACTAAAGCCGGCATACATTCCGATGCATGAAATCTGTCGATCTTTTTCTAAAGAGAAGGATGAAATCAAAGGTGTTTTCTTTAACGATCTTCTATGGATGGAAATAGAAATTCTATCGATAAATAATATTTTACTTTAAATTTGAAAAAAAAGCAATGTCGCGAATCCCAAAAACGCGCAATTATTGTGCTATAAAAGTGTAATCATTTTATTGAAATTCGCAAATTTTTAAGTCCTGTTTAAAGTCAAGTTCCTGTGAAAATATATATATATTACTCCTCTTTAAATACTTTTTTACATAGCCACATGTTCTTACCGGAACCTCAAGACTTTGGATCAATTCTTCGCTGTAAATTACACTTTTATATAATCTAAAAAGTAGATATTTTTTTTTTCATTTGATTCATACGCTTTTTTTTTTTTTTTTATTCCTAAGCATAATAAGCATAAGATGTCACAAGAAACACGATCTCTTCTTGCGGTCGCTCTTTCAACGGTAATAGGCTCATTAGTATTACCAAATCTACCTATGAATATTTATTCGGAAAACGATTCTTTTTCTGAGCAATCACATAACCATTATGAACTTAACCTACGTCAATGCCACCTAATTAATGGACCTGTTCCAAAAACCAAATATAGTGTCATTAAAAATGGCACAAAAGAAATTTTCATTCAATCAATTTCCAGCAACTCAAACGTTCCTTTAACACAAGAATATATTCCAGAGAATTCATTAAATGTTCATTTACCACTCACCTCAACAGTTCAAGAACTCAAGTTAATCATCCAGGCAAGACGAAACTTTCCGCTTTCAGATCAAGAACTAATATTTAATGGACAAATCTTAAGAGATCAACTTACTCTTATTGAATATAACATAAAAGAGTACTCGATTATTGAATTGAACATTGAAAATAATCATATACAAAACGATCAAGAATATGATGAAACGTCAACTCTTGAAAATGAGACAATTCAAAGCACAATTTCTGGATTAACCGAAGTCGAACATTCCTCATTGATCGCATACATCAATCCGAATCAATTACACTCACAATATGATTATGATTTCTCTTATGTCGTCGACCACAAGAAATTTTATCGCGGTGGTTTGGAATATCACCGTCCATGCAGCTGGCAACGATATGCATTACGAGTCTTGAATCGATATGAATCAAATATCTGGTTAGGCGTTCAAGACGAAACGAATAAGGATGACGACACTCTCATATACACACGCAAATCCGAATATGCTTCGGAATCATCTGAATGGCCAGTATCTTACCATGCAAACGGAACGTTGAACGATTCATTCACGATGGCCGATATCGGTAGTTCAAAATTAAAATCCAATTTTAAGTTTATAGGAAAATATGTAATGAACAAATTATTCGGAAATCGTAAGGAAAATATAAAGAAAATGTTTCCATATGGAAGAGGAATATATACCACCCCAAATATTACAATTGCAGCTCAATTTGCTAATAGATTTGAATTTGAAGGTGTCAAATATTTGGTATTATTTCAAAATAGAGTTAATCCAAAGACGCTGAAGAAAGTTCATGATTTTTGGATTAGTCCAAAAATGGATGATGTAAGAACTTATGGAATTTGTATTAAAAGGGATCCTTGTCAAATGTCCTAACTTTCCGGGAATTGTTCAAATGTAGGTCTTTTGTAAATACCAAGGCGAATTTATAGATCAATAAAATACATCTTTTTATGATTTTTTTTATTAGTAAGATATTGCCTAAAATTAATTCGAAGTTTCAGTTTACAAAAACAACAACCCTTATTTGTTTAATGCTGTAATGATTATCCCGAAATACCGAAGAACTTAACCTTATTTGTATATTGCACACGGACTCTTTGAGATTGTGGGTACACGAATAACATCATATAAAACAAAAATACTAATGTTTCATATAATGTAGTGTTGACACCAATTGCTCTTTGTATTTTTTGACAAATAATTTAAAGCAACATTTCCGTAAATAATAAACAATTCGTAATAATATGTAATTTTAACTCTTTAACGAAAAGAATTAACTTTATTATCTTATTTCTTATAATTTAGCTTAAAACTTAAAAACACCACCCTTACAAGATTTTATTAATTTTCAGAAATAATTTTATTTTCACTATAATATTGGTCTGTGTCAGGTATTGTCAATTGAAATTTTGAGTCGTAAAATTTGCTAGTTTTTGCAACTCTTCTAAAGAGAAGCTCGCCAAATCATATTCTAATTCACAGGGAACGCTATTTAGAGTAAATTTTGCATTGAATATGGAAAATCGCTCAGGATTTTTTTTTTGAAGGCGTTCGTTAAAATTATCAATTATTTCTTCGACCCTAGTTATTCTATTGGAAAATAATTTGGCATCGTGATCCGTATTTTTACAATCAGGGCAGAGATTTGGAGTTTTTCGCTTAGAAATTCGACCATTATTATGATTATTTAAATTAATCTTTTGTATAAAAGGTGTTAAACTGGATGGCATCGTGATTGATTTTCCTTCTCACGGCTCTTAAAAGCGAAAGGCAAATTTTCTTGGATTTTATTAACAAAAACATTGCATAGGATTATAGGATTATGAGTCATTAAGTGTAATAATAAAATCACATTCTCTTGAAACTCATCAATCTCATTCTTGCCTATACTTGTATTATTCATTTGAAAAATGAAATTTATTATATGCTATTGCATAACGATAATGGAACTCCATCTGATTATCATCACTTTTTGTTTCAAATTTGTATATATTTGGGAACTTCTTTTAATGTAAGGATTAATAAATAAAAAAATTCTGATTAGCTAATATTACATCTCCGCAATTAAAAAAAATGGCGCAATTGAGTTGCAGCTTGTGACGCAATTAAATTTCCTTATGCCGCAATTAACTTGCAATTTGAAAATAATTATGGGGAACCATATTTAATTTCATCCCATATTAGCTTTATAAATTAAGGTATAAAGAAACAATTTTAAATCAAATTCATATAATTTACAATATCTAATGACTTGATTTTTTGGCAAATAGTTTATAGACTTATAATAAAACGATTATAATCCTTTAAATGGTGAATTTAATAATTATATATATCTAATTTTTTTACTTTAACTATAAATAAATAATATTTGGATATTTTTTTAAGGCAATTTCTATTTGTTACACGGGCGTTTGGACACGTATCACGTGACATGACTGGCATAACATTACTTTTACCGGCATTATGAAATTAAGAAATTACCCGTGTCTTAGAAATTTTCTTTTTTTTAATCATATTCAAGTTTGTTTGATATAACTATTATCGTTATATATTATTTTTGATAAATTAATTTAAATCTATTTAAAATTAACTTTACAAATTTAAAAGAAATAAGCAAAAATTTTTAAATTAAAATTAAATTATTATTAATAATTAGAATAATAATTACATAAAGAATAATATATAATTTTTTTTTTTATTTTTTTTTATTGTTAATATTTGTTTAATTTATAAAATATTTATTTTTTTTTATTTTTTTAAAAATTTGTAAATGACATTCTTATTGACTGCTATTTATTTAAAACAGATTATAATATTATAGATTAAATTATTATCTTTTTTATTTCTTAGATTATTTAACAGACAAATTTTTTTGTTTACTTTAAAAAGTGTTAATTTCTTAATAAATATAAAATTATAATAATTAAAATTATTCTTTATGATAAATTTTATTATTTTATATTATGATTAATATTATTAAAGTTAATTATAAAATTTTTAAAATTATAAATGGTTAACTTTATAAATAATTATAGATTTTTTATTATATAATAAAATATTAAAATCATAATTTTATATTTATTTTAAAATCAAATATCCTATAAAAATTCATATTCAATTAATAATACTAATTTTATATATTTAAAAATTTTATTAAAATTTTTACATAATAAAATTTGATGTATAAAAAAAATAATTAAGTAAAACTAATATTAGATTTTAATTTTTTTTTTTTATATTTTAATAATGTAATACTATTAAAAAATTTATTAAATTTTTATATTAAAAAATTTTATTAAAATAATGACAAATTTTTAGTTTTTATATGTTATTATTATTAATTATAATAAAAATTATATTTAATATAATTTTATTTTATTTATTATATTATTTTCTTTTAAATTATTTACTTTTATTTTTAAATATTTAAATTAAAAATAATTCTTATAATTACTTTTAAATTTTAATTTAATTTAATTGTATTATATGTTGTAATTCAATTTTAATTGTTAATACTTATTTTTAGTTTAAATATATTAATTACAAAATCAAATATTTTATATACTATACTTAATATTATTATATATTTATCTTATCTTTTTTATTTTTTTTTATTTTCATATATAATTCTATCTTATTATTTTTAAAAAATTATATTATATCAAATATTTTTAGTATAATATTAAATTTAATATTAATATATAATAATTTTAATATTTTTAAAATATTTTATATTATTTAATAATAAAATATATAAATAGTAACTAAAATACTATCAGCTAAATACTAATTAACTTATTAATATTCTATAAAATAACATTCTATTATTTTAAATAAATAAAATATGTTAATTAGTTATCATATAATATTATTTAATAAAAGTTTAAATTAGTTTTTTTAAAAAAAAATAACATTATTATAAATTTTGTGACTTATCCCTTAAAGCGTAAGTATAAATTGACTATAAAATATTATAGAAAAATTATAATATTTTAATATCTAATGATTA